ATTTTAAATTTTATATATATAATATATTAATATATATAATATATTTAATATTATTATACTATTATATCATAATCGATGATTAAACAATTTCAAATGTGGGCTAAGAAAAGTCCCAGTTTAAGAAAAATAATTTAACAAAAATTTGTACATTTATACATTATATCTTATTTGTATTTGTGTTTTTACCTCGGTTCTAGTGTTAACGTCATTGTCAAGAATCGCACGAGCATTTCCAAGACTATTATCTTCATTATTTATATTCTTTGTATTATCTTTATAAGAATTACTCTGTCCTGGTTGTTGAATATCTCTCGTTCGAATTAAATTATCGTTCGTAGTTCCACTTTCGTATTTTTTCTTATAAGTATATGACATGTTATTTGATGCTGGTTCGATTCGATATGTCACTGAACGAAAATCCATGTCTCTTGGTTGCATGTAACCATCGATAAACGCGGACTGCAAATAAATTTTGTCATTTTTTTTCTTTTCTCTCTCTCTCTCTCTCTCTCTCTCTCTCTCTCTAGATTATTTTAACCAAACACTCACGTCAGAATTTACATTGATGCATTCCGTTTCAGGATCCGGCCTCATAATAGTTATTTCGCGATCGCATGCCGGTAAAATGTCGTAATTCGGTGTTGGATGATTTATTACGTCGGGATCCTAACAAACAAAAGATTTTTTTTTCATACATATACATATATACATATATATATGAAACCTATGTGACATTATACTTTATTTTAAAATCTCAATTAAGATAATAAACGTTTTGTTAAGATTATTTTATCGAAAAAAGTATCACATATTTGTCTTGTTAAAGAACCAATTATACATACACTCAAAGGATTTAATAAATAATTTGTTTAATTTCATTTTTCTTCATGAAAAAAAAAAAAAAAAGGTAAATAAAATTTACCTGCAAACAATAATCGATTCTTTCGGTGATGGTCGCAAAACTCGGCCTATCTTCCGGTCTTGGGTGCCAACAACGTGTCATTATTCCATAAATAGGATCAGGACAACCAGCTGGTTTTTCCAAACGACCACCTGACGTTACCATTGTCATTACTTCGCGATTAGCACAACCGGTATATGGCATATATCCAAACGACATGATTTCCCAGAGTAGAACACCGAAAGCCCTTTAAATCAAAATCATTTTAGGTCTCATTTATTATTTATATATACATATATATATTTTCTAAAGTTATAAGGAAAAGAAAAGAAGTAGAGAAGAAAGAAAAAGAAGAAAGAAGAGAAAATTGAATATATAGAAGTGATTGTTATGTTGTTAATTAGTTCGAAAAAATTAGTTTTAGTTTTAGTTTTGTTCGAAAGTTTAAATATATTGAGATAGAATATATAAAAATTGTTTGTTGAATATTTGTAAAAAGAAAAGTTGTATAGAAAGCTCTCCAAACTCGAAAAGGGACGGAGTATAAATAAATAAAATATATATTTTCTAAGTACAAAAATTAAAAAGAAATCAGAGGCTTGAAAAAGTTTCAAAAATAATTAATTAGGAAAAAAACAATTAGTTTAAGGATGACATATTGTTTCTCTTATCAAAGGTATTTTTTCGATACTAATTTAAAAAAAAAAACTGATTTTCTTTGATTGAAAACATTGAAGACTAACCAAACGTCGGTTTTCGTTGTAAATATACCATCGAGGAAACTTTCTGGTGGCATCCATTTGATAGGTAACATCGCTTTACCACCTTTCCTGTAATAATCACTTCTGTATATATCTCTGGCCATACCAAAGTCTGCAATTTTGACAATACGACCAGATCCTTTGCACGTGAGAAGACAATTACGTGCAGCTATATCGCGATGTATGAAACGTGCTTCTTCCATGTATTTGCAACCATCGGCAACATTATATCCGCACATTATTAAATCGTACATATTTAAAGTGGTAGGACGATCCTAATTATGACAATTCAAAAATAATTTGTTCTTTCAATTATTTATCCTTTTATCGTATATCACAAACAAAATAAATATATAATATATATATATATTATAAAAAGAAAAATATATATATTTATTATATATTA